GGTAGCATATATATATATATATGGTAGCATATATATATATATATATACACGTACATACATATATATATATATAATATGTAATTATTCATGCATTTCTATTTATTTGTTTAAACGTTTGTGTACATCTACACACACCCGAGTGTTCTGATGGAATGTCGCCGGTAGTGGTCATAATGGTACAGACCTCAGCAGTTGGGAAACCTGTCAGGATTTCAGCTGTTGTTGACAAGCTGCTCTTATAGAAGTGGTTCAAGCAACAGCGATGACGGTAACAATGCACAACGAGGATAATGCAATACATCACGAATCACTGCAGGTACACAGTTGGACGTCTCCAACTGCCTCACCACGAACCATGGGCGTCTTTGCTAGCAGGACACCCATGGCCGTGCTCCTGCCCCCTGCAAGTTTAAAGCGAGATCTTCCATAGCGCAACTTTCGTTCTCCCTAGTGCCGATTCGGGAGTGGTCACACACACACACACAACCGCCTACGGAGAGGCGGATGATGCAATTCGGACCTAGAGGGAAAGCTCCAGGGTGCAATTTCGCTACAAACGAAAAGCCGCAGAACAAGAATCGATGCTGTGTTTCAAGAACCATGTCCAAGTCACCTCACGCCTACCGAGAAACATGTACTTATTGGACACGGCAGCTGAGCTCTTCACATTACCGAGGTGCACGCAGAGGTGTCACAGCTCCACTCCAAATCGCTTTATCCCAAGTCACTGGTATAGGCACCAAGATGCTGCTATCGAAACATTTGTGAATATAGTCACGACTCGAGACTGCAATTCGGTTGCCACAAGGTTAGATGTTCCGTGCTCCACGTTTACACAGTAACTGGGGTTCAAAGGCCTCAGAACAGGACACCAAGAACTTTTACCGAAGTCACCACAATCAAGCTTGCTGTAATCACCTGCCCAGCTGAAGGAAAGCATTCCAAGAAGCGCTGTCTTGCTGGTCAAGCACCCTGCAACTGTCGTCTCAAAGCCGACAATGATTACGGAATCCGAAATCTTGAACCGAACAGGACCTAAAACGGAAGTCACGAAGTGCAAACCAAAGCTCGAAAGTCACCAGTGTTCTACCAAGGTTCAAGCAGGAACAGACAGCAAGGCGCAACCTATGTGACCTTAAACCCAATTCAAAAGGCACCGAGGCACATACCAAGGCACCGGGAGAGCCATTAATCTCGAGATCCTTTCGGCCCGAGGGCCTAACCGAGGGAAAAACCCCAAATTGGTGGCAGTCGCCCGTCCTCCCGTCCCCGTACCTGTAGGTAGTACGAGAGCAGACCAAAAAACAGGACAAGGAACGAACAGAAGAACAGAAGCAACAGCAACAACAACGACAAACAAGAAACGAAGAAACACGAAGAAAACGACGAGCAAAACAAGACACAAACAGCCGACGACAAGACGGAAGATCTTGGGACATATGGGTACTTTGTGACTGATATATTGTGCCAGTTTTGGCTGCTTTTGCTTGCGCTTCTTTCCGCTGGTACTTTGCACAACAGTGCTGACCGGGAGGTAAACCTCATCTATTTTCTCCATTGCCCCGAAGGGATCAAGACGGTGCACCGCTGGACCCTCCGCCTATTGGACATAAGTCCTCACACTGGAGTGTTCTGATGGAATGTCGCCGGTAGTGGTCATAATGGTACAGACCTCAGCAGTTGGGAAACCTGTCAGGGTTTCAGCTGTTGTTGACAAGCTGCTCTTATAGAAGTGGTTCAAGCAACAGCGATGACGGTAACAATGCACAGCGAGGATAATGCAATACATCACGAATCACTGCAGGTACACAGTTGGACGTCTCCAACTGCCTCACCACGAACCATGGGCGTCTTTGCTAGCAGGAGACCCATGGCCGTGCTCCTGCCCCCTGCAAGTTTAATGCGAGATCTTCCATAGCGCAACTTTCGTTCTCCCTAGTGCCGATTCGGGAGTGGTCACACACACACACACACACCAACGAACAACCCAACTGGCAAAAAGCGGACTGTCCCGCTTCCTTGCCTGCACGCCGGCTGCAATCGCTTCTTGGACGGCCTCTTGCTCTCCATAGCGCGCATCGAGAACAAACTCGACCACCTTGGCGGCGTGTGGTGTAGCCTCGAAAACCTGTCAAAGATGTGGAAGTGTGTGCCTCTTCTGGCGGCTCGTTTGCCATGGCCCCATGCACAGAGTCAGCGAGGGAGTGTCGGTCTGCGGTCTTGCTCGCTCATGTTTGACTTGCTGGTTGCGATTCGCACATGGCAAGTCAGGCACCTGACAGTTCTCTAAACTGCTTGAAGCCTGTGTTCAGGAAGACACACGTCTTCGTGCGACTGTGCACACTTCACGACGGAAGGTCTTGCAGGTTGTCATATGGCAGCTGATTGCCCCGATGGTCCACACAAATGAACTTTTCTATGCCAGAACCTCACAGTTTGGCGCCGGCGACCTTAGCTGCAACGGCACAACGATGAGTGACAGAAGGTTTTCGCGCTTGGCTTTCACATCCAGTATTCACTCTCCGATATGCCCCGCCATGCCCCGCCATCTCCTTGCGATCCATAAACACAGAAAGAAACCTCTTGCGCCTAACAGTCCTTAGGATTTGGCTCAGGTGGAAAGCTAGGGCATGCTACAAAATACAACTGTTGCATTGGCAGGTTGCGTGGAAGATCAGGTCGAAACTATTTTGAAAGTTCTGCCCGGCTTTGTCAAAATGGCTTTGCTGATTTGACCAAGGGCAGTCTGAACTGAGGGTCCTGAAGTTGAAGCAAGTGACGAAGCCCTGAAATCTGCAAAACTCCGGCACTTCCAGGCGGTCTGTTGGCACGTTGCTCAAGTTCGCAGAGCTGTCAGGGTAGCCCAGCGCCACTCCACACCTTAGCATGATCGAAGCGCCATTCAACAGGCTGGTCCTGATGTGGCATGACAGAAGCTGCTAAGCACCACCGCAGGAACCTACGGCTGGAGAAATTCGCAAGTGGTGCCCTATATCGGTGCGTATATATGTATAAAACTGTATACATATGTACCGTGTATTCAAAGGTATCATAGGTACATGTCTGCATCCACTAACCATGCTGTGCTGTGCAAGATCTGAACCTGAGCATAGCACCACACCACTTCTCTGTCGGAGGAGATGCCGAGCACATCATACACACAACTGCCAAGGTTTCCCCAGGCTTCCAACATCGCCTGCTATTGAGAGGCTTGTGGTTAAATGGATCGAGAGGTTTCGCCATCTTCCAAGCAAAAGCTTATATATTGTGTGAGGAGTTTGAAATTCCATTGGAAAGCCCGAGCGATGGTGGTGCTGCGGGCTTTCCGCCGGCTTTCCGGATTTCTGGAATTGCGTTGGTTTGGGACAGGCCAGAGCTTGGAGCTTCGACTTAGAAGACCCATTCGTCGCGTCACCGTGGCGAGGCCCTGCTCCACAGCTAGCAGAGCGATGGTTTGTAGAAGCAGCCCAGCATGTCCCCAAGCATTTCGGTCGCAACAGCCTCGGCCAATCTGCAGCCTTCACACGTGTCTTAACTATTCTCGATCCTCAGTGCCGAGGCTTGTGACCCGTCCTCATTTTCGGTGTAGGTACTCTAGCACTGACTAACGGCCAGAAAATCGACACCTGAGTAGGACCACCTAAAGGCCCACTTTCGCCTCAGAACAGCACGTGCTCTTGCTGCATGAAGAAACGATCCACAGTGACGATCATACCGACAGGAGCGCCCCAGAAGCGATAGTTCTCCAGCAGTGCTCGAAGGCGTCCTGCTGCGTCCCCCCTCGCCACACCCATCAACTTCCACAGCTTCTGGGCCACCTGCACGCGCCGTCGCATGTACGCCTGAGGAGGCGTGGTCCGTTGCTGAGCGGTTTATGCTTTAGTGCACCTCTGTCGGTCCTGGCCTCATGCATGTCGGAAGGCATGTCGGCTTTGCGCGGGTAGTGATGGTACTCCTCCCGCATGGTGTGCTGCTTGCCCGCACCCTGCAGGTGTGCCAAAGCTGCATCTGTCAAGGTGCGCAGCTTCGAGCCAGCCACAACCTGTGGCACGCAAACACTCTCAGAGCAGTCTAGCTGTGGCTGCATTGCGGTAGCTTTCGGAACATCCTGGATACACATGATCAGCTGCGAACCGACGATACTCCTCGGGTACAGATCGATAAAGCATGCAGGGTGCAGCCAGCAAGTTGGAGGGTCTTGTCTCTGGCTTTAGCTTCCGCAGGTTCTATGGGTCGTGAAGCTGATCATTCTGCATTGCTCATTAAGATGATTTCTGAGGGGAGGGTTTCGCGCTGGCACTCGGACAATCCAGGCAAGGCATGTGGTTCGAGGTTTCATTGATTTGAAAAACCGTAGCGAGTCAAGGTGAACACCGTCCCCTCTGTCAAAGAACCTGCTAGCTGGTCTAAACTCGTGGGCTTCGGGAGTACAAGATGCCTCACTCCCTACTACTCAGCAGAACAACTCACAATACCGGGCGTCCATTCCCCCAGGATGCTTACCCTCCAGGGCATTGTCAGAAGCAAGCTATGGCTTGTCAAGCCTTGCTGTCCTTCGTCCCATGTCCTTCCAATTTCTGGCGGAGTAGTCCGTCCAACTTTGAAACCGTAACCACGATGACGCAAGTGTAGGCTTCAGATCTCCGCTATTGCAATTTATCCAACCCGACGGTGTGTTGGCCTCTGCCGTAAGGGCCGTTGGCGTACGCATCCAAGTGGATATAGGGGGGTTGGCCGTTAAAGGAAAGGCTGGTCGCTTCGGAGCCCATTTCTCAGACTGCAAATGTGCCGTTTTGACCAAGGCACATATATGTGCCATGGCTGCGTGTTGCCGCCAGACGGTGCGCGGGAAGCTCGCGACAGCAGCTCCTCAACGGTTTCTTGGGACACAGGCCGCCGCTCGAAGGCTCGGCAGGTCCGTCGTGATCGAACCGCCTTGGCTTGCGGTGGACACACTTAATGTCGAAGCACACCTTCGAAGTACGTAGCCTTGAACCGCGCCTCAGAAACGTTCATCTTCGGCAGCAGAATGCAGCAGACCTACTTACGCCGTATCTCCGTTCTTGGTGTGGGAGCTCTTTCCGGCCACGTGAATCTCCAAGTGCTGTTCCGAGGCTGCTCCGTGTAGTGTAGCTGAGTCTCTTGCATGCCTGCAGTGGAAAGCCTCAACGCGACTGAATACTGCTACACGCTTTGGCTGAAAACGCAGAAGCGAATTCAACAGAAAGGGATGCCCGGACACAAAGCGATGCTGCGATGCTATCGACAAACCCTCAAGATCTGGCAGCAAGAAAGCTTTTCCTTTCGCATCTTTCTGCACCATCAGAAGGTTTCTTTGAAAGACACGTCTGATCGGCTTTCCGCCGCACCTACTCACCGGCTGCCGCAGATTACAACGGCACTGGTGGGCAACCTTCCAGATGTCCTGGCCATCTGCACCACGAGGCACTGGAATCGCACTGCGATGAGAACCGACGTGGCATTCAGGTCCGCGAAGTTGTCGTCGCCACCTTCTCCGCCATTCTTCCAATCAGGCAAGGGCGTTGATGTCCCGCTGGCCGTATCCACATTTTGCAGGTGGTGCAACTCACCTGTTGGGAGGCCCGCGGGGAGGCTCCGCGATAATTCCACTGATGCCACAGTCAGAGTTCCTTATTCAAATCGAGGCTATGACATCGCGTGCAACCAGGCGTCGTAAGCTTCTAATTGCCCGCTAGCCTAGAGCGGCCACGTGGAAGTCTGCAAACAAGGAGCGGGACACCATGACGCAGAAACACCGGAGCCCACCCGTGCCTAAGGTTTTGGAAGCAGCAGATAATGGGTTCATTAAGGCAGCTGAGGATGCTTGGGTGGGTCACGTTCGCCTTTGCAAGCGCCCAGTTGCTCGCACTGCTCCCGGACGAGATTGCGCAAGTGTCTCGGACTCGGACGAGCCAGGCAAGCTCCAAAGATTGCTGGCCAAGACTGGCAGTCCTTTCCCAGTCACAACAGGCGAAAGGTACAACACTGCCTTCAAGGAGAAACCTAAGCACAACTACCCTGATATCGAGCAACATCCACGTTTTCGAGGCGACAACCACGAAGGGAGCGCCAAACGTTGCCCAGGACAGTCGCAGCAGATCTGTCCACCATCAACACTGCGTCACCACCTCCACCTCCAATTGAACCGCACCTGAACAACTTGGAAACAAGTGCGAAAGAGGGATGTCGATGACAAAACTTCACACCCGGAGCTTGCTCTCTGACTCGGCTTCGTGCACGAAAGGGACCGTGGAATTCACTGGAGCTGTCGCTTCTTCAAGGCCTGAGATGCCCTCACTGTGGTGTGCGAGGAGGCTGGGAGACCTACTGGGGCACTTGGGCAGCTTGGCTGCGGTATCGCAGAGCCGAGGCCACGCTGCCAATGTACATAATGTCTGGTCGAATCCTGCCGCCAGGCCATCAGGGTCTCGGCTCTCGACTCTCCCCTCTGTAAATGCATTGATCTTTGTGCCATGCACTCTCCTGAGCACCAGGGAAAAGCGCTGACCGTCTGCTTCTTCATGCTTACGCATCAGCTCCAAAGCTCGAGCAAACTTCAGGTACTGCTGGGTCAAGCCCAGGCCTTCACAAATCTGACAAGCGCTGAGCCGTAGCCGACCGTTTCTTGCCTTGCTTGATTTCTTTGGAAGCTTTCAGGCAGCCTGCTTTTGCCTGGTTGGTGCAACTTGAGTACACGTCCTTCTCTCGTTCCACATCTTCCAGCGTCCACTCCGCCAAAGTGTAGTTACCTGCGAAGGACGAAAATCATGAAGTGTGGGTAGGGGGAGGTAGAGGGAGGAGGGTTTCTCATCCTGTAGTATTCCTATGATAATCACCAGCAAGCATGGACAAGCCAAGGATAGCTGAAGCATAATCACAGGATTAGTCCATCCTCTTCTAACCACGTTCATCCTACGATAATCCTATTCTTATCTCATGCTTATCCGAATTCCTGGATTACCGTGGGATAACTGTAGGATTACCCTAGGAAATGTTCAAGCAACTCGTGCCTCCGTACTTGGCCAGCATTTCCTGCCAAAACGAAGCACGCATTGCAAAGGTTCATTACAGGATCGTCTGCGAAGCCACATGACCTTGATGCGAGCCTTAACCTGCTCCTCAGTGAAATCTCTGCTGTAGTGACGTTTGCTGTGGTTCTGCCCGCGCCACGTGAAGCCACTCCTCGGCCCACAGCAGGCCAGCTTTTGGAACGCACATTCACCTTACAAGGGATAAAGCCTGCAAGTAAGTAATGTAACCTGGCATCTGAGTAAACTCCAGAACCGCGAAGATGTGATGACGCGATGTTGGCATCGCCTGTGACACACACTTAATAGTGTTGGGTGCCTTCGTGTTTGGATTGCATGTTTGCTCTTCTGCAGAACTGAGGCCGATACATGCTGACAACTACGTTTGCACAGCGACAGCATCACAGGATAAAACCATGTACAGATTGTAAGATGAAGATGTCACAAACTTCCAAACTTCGTTTCAGATACAGGATCAAGCGTCCTCGATCCCTTCCCGGCAATGGCTTCGTTGCGTGCAGTATGCCAAAAGTGCTGCACGCCCCTGCTGGAATTGAATCGAAAGGCACAGATAGCCTGACATCCTAGTGCACTTCGGTCGCACGGCAGTTGGAGAGTGACCTCCCAGACTCCCTGAGCCCATGAACGAGGACCGTCCACACACACACACACACAAGCACACACTCACAGACACACACACACACACTGACACACACACACACGTTTGAAAACCAGTCGTCCTGCTTTGATGGATGCTGTTTGTGCTAGACGGTTACATATTCAGCTTCTTCATGCAGTGTGTAAGCCCACCAGCTATCCACCACGGGATCCAGGTGCAGCCTTTTAGCAGGCACACAGAATGGCGTCCCATCCGGCTGCCACCGCACCTCACATAGCTTCGTTGGACGTAGAAGATGGCCGGTGCCCCCCCTGCTATGGGTGCGAAGTCCCCCGGGCGTGTGCGGAGTGCCCCGGGCGCGCGAAGTCCCACGAGCCGATTGGCTCACCGTTGTGAAAGGGCTTCCTGGGGGACGTGACAAGACAAATGCATCCCCAGGAAAAGGAGCCATAATTTGAAAGACTGGTTGCAAGGTTTGTTTCCCTGGGTGCACTTGACTTGTCTGAAGATGCGGTCACAAGCAACACCAGCCCGTCAGTTTGATCAGAGCGATGCGAAGATGCCGATTTGTGCTCTCTCCCCATCTCTCTCGCAAGAATGGGTTTTGGTGCCATCACACAGGCCGTCCTGGAATACATGCTGGTGGATGTTGCGAGTCACGCGGTCTTCCGTGCCAGCTCGAACCTCCCCAATGTGCACGGACGCATGACAAACCACTCTGGTGAAAGTCACACTGTCACACGCTGCAATAAGCAAATCTGTCTCACCTGGCCAACAACCAGCACCGCGATGCCACTCCACCGATGGCCAGCAGCTTCGTCTGAAGCGCGCTGTTGGTACCACCTCTTACACATCTCTTCTTCACCACAGTCAGGAGGGTCGACGCATGTCTATCTCTCTCTCTCTCTCTCTCGCTCCCTCCATCTCTCCATCTATCAAGCTACATATCTCTCCACCTACCTACCTAGATGCCTGGCTGCTGGCTAGCTGGCTAGGCTATTCGTCGAGTCTAGCTTGCACGTGCACTTTTGTATGGCGTCCTTGTCTATGTACTGCGTATATGTATATATGTGTGTGCACCTGCATGCCTGCATATACACATGCAGGCATAGATACCACATACCCACCTACCTGCCTGCCTGCCTGCCTGCCTGCCTACCTACCTACCTACCTACCTACCTGCCTACCTACCTACCTACCTACCTACCTACCTACCTACCTACCTACGCCTGCCTACCTACCTACCTACCTACCTACCTACCTACGCCTGCCTACCTACCTACTTACCTACCAACCTACCTACCTACCTACCTACCTACCTACCTACCTACCTACCTACACCTCCTGCAAAGCCACGTACGTACATACATACATACATACATACATACATACATACATACATACATACATACCTACACACATACATACATACATACATACATACATACATACATACATACATACAGACAGACTGACA